ATCAAGTCTGCAGCAAAAACTACTTTGAAAAGTGATTCAGAATTCCATAAGACTGCTCAAGGGTGCTTCTTCTCATTCAGAAAACTTTCAATTTTGGCTCTGAGTATAAAAAATCTTAATAAAACTGTGTTACAGCTAAACCATCCAACTGCCTGTGTGTTCAGGAATGTCTGGATATATACTTTTTTTTGCAAAAGTTTACAGAATGGCAATCATGTTATTAACAATAGCATATGAAATTCCATAACATGATAGACTCAGATATTTTCCACAAAGTATGGGCAATTGAATAATACAATAAATAACTATAGGCTTTGAATATCTTACATTTCCCAAACTTTGTAAATTTGTCCAACTGAATTCTTTTCTGTGCCACATATGTTTTACCCACCATTAGATGCAATACTTCTTAGCATATCCCACTTCAGATTTTACTGAATTACTGTTTCCTCAAATTTTTAAAAATATTATTCCCTTTTCTGTTCCAGACTATCCTATCCTATCCTATCCTATCCTATCCTAGCCTATCCTAGCCTAGCCTAGCCTAGCCTAGCCTAGCCTAGCCTAGCCTAGCGTATCTCATCCTTTCCTATCCTGTTCTAATTCTCTTCTATTCTTTTCATAGAAACTAATTCTTTAGTAATTTCAAACTTGGCATTGTTTTCTCAAGTAAATAACAACAATTAAACATTGTTGTAATATCTATTAAATCATGAAGACAAGGAAAACTATTCAAAGTCATTTGCCTTTGTTTTAATTTTAATTCAATATCAATGTAGCTGTCAATGTCCTTGAATTTTTGAGTAACTATACTTGCTGAAAGGATAATTGTCTGAAGTTTATTTTCTCTCCGTACATTTTCTTTGACTGTTATAAGCAAACATAATTTAATTAATTCACCATTAGTAAATGGTTTTCTCTGAATGGCTAACCAATATGATTTCTAGAGACTTATTTTGGTCACAGCCTTCTTTTCTTGTTTTTGTAAATAAATTCTGCTGTGATGAGATGTTCCATTTTAATTTTCTAATTCTTCTAACTATTGCTTTCTTGTGAGTTAGAATTTTGTGATGAGTCCTTGGTCTGTTCATTTCAATCTGTATTGCATTAATTTTGTCACAGATATAGTGTCATTGCATAATAAATTCAACTTGACATTTAATTTGATAACAAAATAAATTTTGTTCAACTGGGACTTAAAAGTGTGATGTTCCAAATCTGACCATCTCTTCTTTTCTTGATTTCAGATAATGGGTATTCACTAGTAATAAAATACAATAAACGGTGATGTCAAAACAATATATGTGGGGCACTTGACACTTTAGGGGAGAAAAATAATTTTCCTTCTACTCTTCTAGGTCTCTTTGCTGAGACCCATGTGATAAAAGACAGATTAAGAGGGGAAAAAATTGAATAACAAGTATATTTCCTGTATTTGTGGGAAACCCCAGAAAAACTGAGTAGCTCTCTGAATGTCCCAAGCCATCATCTTAAATATCATCTCTAGCTAAAGACAAAAGAAGATTTTGGGAATGGGGAAATCCAGTTATGGAAGGCTATACTGAAAAGCACCTTAAACAAGAGTAGGGTTGTTATGTAGATATAAGTCTGCTGACTTCTCCATTGATAAAACTTTCTAGAGATTTAACCATCCTTATCCTCCTGAAACGAGAGGGAACCACCTTTACAAAAGGAAAAGTCCCTTTTAAAATGTAAATGTGCTTTACAAAAGGATAACTTCCAGTGGGTTTCAGAGATTTTTATTTGTCTGCTAATTCTTCAAAATAATCAGCCTCAGATAATTCTTATATGAAAGAAACAAATTTTGCAGTGGTAAATTTTTGTCAAACCTTACATAAGTGTAAATTGTAGTACACCAAACAACGGTATGATGTCCTAAGAGACATAAGATCTCTGTCACTACAACTCAACTATGCTTATTATAGCAAGAAAGCTTCCAACAATCACTGAGTATTTTGGGGGGTTATTTTAGCTTTCTTGTAAAATATCTTTTTTTTCATAGATCAAATTATAATATACTAGTGGCCTCCTGCATGGATTCATGCACATTGAAAGGAAATTAATTAGAAGAAATGTTTTAATATTGCTATACACCCTTTCTCTATAATAGAAGTGTCATGATCAACAATGACAGATCAAACACATGCGTGCAATTGGCGCCAGTGAGAGTTTTATATATATCGTGCATACACGAGTCAGCTTAGCCTTTTATATATATACTAGAGGCCCGGTGCACAAAAATTTGTGCACTCGCGGGGAGGGAGGGGGGTCCCTCAGCCCGGCCTGTGCCCTCTCGCAGTCTGGGACCCCTCAGGAGTTAACGACCTGCTGGCTTAGGGTTGCTCCCGGGTGGCAGAGGGCAAGCCCAATCCCTAGGTGCAGACCCTGGTCGGGATCAG